CTAAACTGGCAATTAGATGGGATCGTAGTCCTCGTTCCCAGTCAGCATGTTATGGGGGAGAACAACGTGTCGACCAACAGGCTAATCGCGCGGCGATTGACAGACAGTAAACAATAATTTGAATAAGTCAGTGAAGTGGAAAGAAAAGTTAGGAAATGGCCTATATGCCCCGGAAATCGTGGGTTGCATAATTATGAATCCAAACTAACGATCATGTTGGCTTTATGTTAAGTCTGCTAGCATTGAGGCTTGCTCTAAGTTGGTGTGATTTTCAGCGAAACCGTACCGTACGCTCATTCCTCCGGACACACTATTGAAGGCAATTTCTATGACGAGTTTGGCAGTTATCATTGCGTTTGTGATCTGGCGGCGTTCAATTCCACTTCTGGTCTTGTCAGGCATTGCCGTTGCGCTGATCATCTACATAGACATGAACGTCAATCCAGAAACAATTCCAGACGATGCGAAGAAATATCTGGGATTGTAGTGATCAGAAAATGGTCTATCCAGAAAGACCTTATTGGATTCATATGGGTATTCGTGATTGTAGCTCAGTGGCTAATGAAGATTTGTATTATTGGGTGTTATGCAGGCCACAGCTGTTCATTTGGTAGAGCAGTTGAGCTATACGTACTTCTCTCTCCAGGCCGGATGTTACGATGAATTTGGTGGGGGGGGGGGGGGAAATGGTTTCTTCCGACCTTGTCAACAGTTACCCTCTCGTTTTTGCTTCGATTACGTATCCCTGCACTCAGTTCCAAGCGTAGAAATACCCCAGCTCTATCCCACTCTTGCTTTCAAATCCGTCGTGAGAAAGATGTCGTACAAAATTCTTCGAGCCCACAGAAAGGGAATCGTTACAGTTCCATGAATTGAGATCTTGGGACGCACAGTGTCAATAGGAAATGCTTACTGGATCAACAGCAGTTTCGCTCTGTAGAGCTAGACATGGTCGCTACGTTTTATGTTTCAGCTCAAAAGGAGGCTGAAGCTGAAGAAGATGACGAGGACGAGGATGCTGATGAACACCGAGATACTCTGAAAAGTGATGAAGACCAAGATTCTCTGAAAAGTGATGAAAACGGATATCCTCTGAAAAGTGAACTGTGATCTCATTATGACCGCGCTATGATTACAAATCAGTGGGAGAAGCGAAGTGCTCATTATATCATACACGTATTAATGTGCTTTATACCAATCCAAATCGTGTTTCTGTGGCAGGTCTCGATCATTAGGTCAATGCTGATGTGATATTTTAATGTTGGCACGTGATGGTGCAAATGTTAATGTGTTGTGTTAATGTTAATTTGTTAGGGCATTATAAATGGCTTTCAGGAAGTGATTACTTAGTATTTTTTCTGGTTAAGTTGGCAGTTAGGATTTGTGTTGCAGCCTGCAACAGTTCTGCACTTATCCATCGGCGTTTATACTTTGTTACAGGAAGAAGAGGAGCGTCCACACACAACCAGTGACGGCGTCCAAGGAAAAAGTGCCTTCTCTTTTCTTTTTTCTTGGCCGGTCGTAACTTCCGGTGTGTGACCTGCACTCGACGCTCTCCTCGTTTTTAGAAGTGTAGAGCCATGGTTTGGTTTGACGAGAGTTTTTTGGGGTTGTGAAGGAAGCTTGGGAAATAACTGATAGAATGGTGCCGATATCGACCAGCGCTTATCGTTAGATCAAATGACTAACCCTACTACAAATTGTGGCCCAGTTCGAACCAGTACGGTCGAACCAGGATACCAGGTTCAGCAACGGTAGATTATATCCTTTCAAAGAATTGTTACCATTTCTTATCCAGAATAGCAACCTATAAAGTTGGCAATTTTCTAAAAACGTAGCCTGCAAAAATCGACGCTTGCCCACGTGACATCCTTCATAACTTCGCTTCATACTTTTTGAAAAGCAGCTGTGAGCGATCCATTCAAAGTGTATTGTTGCGCGGACTTTTCCAGCTTCACTACCGAATACAATAGGTAACCCATTACTTCCAAATCGCGGGTTTTGGCTGGCCAATCTTGGCGCAGCTTGAAGTTGAACAAAAGGGCTTTGCAGCAGACTTTCGCAAAATTCAATCCATGAGCCGGCATACCGCCTTGCTAAAATTAAATCGTTGCAAGTAATAAAAGGTTACAGAGCTCTCTCCAAAATACTATCTTGAACAGCATTTGCCTCAAGGTTTACACCCACACAGGCGAAAATCAATCCAAAGAAGTCTCCCAGGTCCACTACATTGTTGAGCTAGAAGGTTGTCTTTTATTTCCACTCTGCTGGTCCTTGCGGAACTCCTAAGCAATCACTTGTGAATTTTTCTCAGGGTAAGGCCAATGATCGTCCATGGGACAACGAAAAAGCTTCCTCGTGTCCAGCTACATGCAAACTCCTCTCCGACGCGCCGCCTCCATTTCGCACTATTTTAACTCTGCTCTTCCTCTCACTATCCGAGGGAGCTTGTCGCTTATGGCATTTATAAGCAAGCGCTCCTGCTTTCGATACGGAAACTCTTCGAACCGTTTATCCTGATACCGCTCTGTAGCCAAATTCGTTATGGTCTTCCCCAAATTGTGGTGGGTACGCATTTTGACAATATTCTCAGCAATAATTACGCCTGCATGACCGGTCGACATGAGGAAAAGCACAATGAGTACTGCGATTGAGAGCCGCATGACGTGGTAGCTCTGGCGATACCTTCTTCGTACACGGTAGATGTCGAAAAAAAAAAACCATCGGAGGCTGGAAAGCGAAGGTTTCCAATTGCCCTTTTCACCAAAAAAAGACCCAATGAACCATGATACCATAGAATTATATACAAAAAGCAATGACGCATCTGAAATTCTAGTCATGAGCTCTGCTCATTGTTCAGTAAAAACATTTGCTGTGCTCGAGTCTTGTCACCATATTTATGTCCCACCCTGTATTGTACCACGAAATCTCCTTCTTATTCTTCAGCGTTTGCGGGGTCCGCTTTCTGATGTGCTGTCGCCACTTTTCCCGATTAAATGCTTGGTCGGGGTGGATGTTAACCAACTTCAAGTCTGCGTGCAACGTATCGAGCCAGCGCTGTTTCGGGCGCCCCTTGGGCCGCTTTCCGTGCACGTCTATGTTGAGGCCGATCTTGCGAACACTGTCATCATTTCCGCGAAGAACGTGGCCAAACCAACGAAGCCGAGCTTCGCGCATTTTATCAGCAATGGGAGCTACACCAAAGCGTTCTCGTATGACATCGTTCCGAACGCGATCTAATCGCGTGACACCAGCCGTCCAGCGCAGCATCTTCGTCTCCATTACACCGAGGCGAGTTTCAGTGTCCCTGGTCGCTGGCCAGCACTCAGCGCCGTACAATGCCACTGGTCTTATGACTGTCCTATAGATCTTCGATTTTAGGCGTTCTGGGATTTTCTTGTCACAGAGAACTCCCGTCATAGAACGCCACTTGGACCAAGCCGCACTCACACGCGAGTTCACCTCAGTACTCATACTGCCATCAGACGCAATTGCTGATCCAAGGTACTTGAATGTCGTTGTACGTGTCAGCTCTATTCCATTTATTTTGATAGAACCGCACTCGCTCGTGTCGGTTGTCAGGTACTCAGTCTTCCTAACGTTCAACCTGAGTCCGAACATCGCTAGGCGATCGCACCAAGCTTGCGCTTGTTGTTCGAGTACGTTTTTGTCTTCGCAGGCGAGCATCACGTCATCAGCATAGAGAAGCGTCCATGGAGCCGGTTTCTGAAGATCTCGTGAGATGGCATCCATGACGACAACGAAAAGAAGTGGGGAAAGCGCAGAGCCCTGATGTACCCCAACAGAGATGGGGAATTCGAAACTGAATCGAAACGCCAGCTGACGTTTGCACTCGGCTCTTTGGGCTTGAGTAAAGCATGCGAACCCACTCGATAAGCTCTTCGGGGACGCCATGTTGTCGTAAGGCGTACCATATTACTTCACGTGGAACGCGATCAAAAGCCTTTTCCAAGTCTAGAAAGGCAAAATGCACCGGCTTTTGTTTTTCACGGTGTTTTTTTCTAGCAGAAGACGAGCGGCGTGTATGGCATCAATGGTGCCGCAGCCAGTCACGAAGCCGCATTGGTTCACGGTAAGCTGGACTATGTCACGAATACGGCGATCTACAATTCGTTCGAATACCTTCATGCTGTGGGAGAGCAGACGAATTGGTCGGTAGCTCGTGCAATCTGCAGGACTCCCCTTTTTCTTCCAGATCGGGATCGTCGTGCTCTGTTGCCAACTCTCAGGCACTTTCTTTTCTGCAACGACTTGGTTGAAGAACTTCGTCAGCCACTCTGCTGGATTCCAGCACTGTGACTTCCACAGATCGGCCGCCAAGTCGTCGGGACCCGTTGCTTTACCTGTCTTCATCTTCTTCAAAGCCGCCTTCTGTTTCGCTCACAGTTATCTTCGAGACAGGGCCGTGGACCGGAGGAGCAGAAGGTATTGGCGGGTGTGAGAATTCCACTGTCGAGATTTCGCCTCGGAAGTAGTCGTCACTTACGCAAGACAACCCCGCAGAAACGGCAAGCCACGACCTTCAAGCCCTCTTAATGATTATATCATTCGATATCGCTCATTCTGAGTCAATATGAGAGAGGAGAGATGCACAAAGGAAACTTATCGAACAATCTTCGGTCTGGCCGATCGGCGAGCCGGTAGCGTTGCGCGTGCCGTCTCGAGCATCTCGCAAGCCATCCGAGAGAACTGCTGCTGAGCAAACAGCCGCCATTTCTTAATGCTTAGCCTTCCGTCAGACGCCATGAGTAGTATGTGTTGCCAGTGTATCGCGCTTGACTTGTCGCCTCCAAAAAACACTTGGTAGAGCTTGTTCTTCTCCGTACCTTTTTCGTCTGACAAACCGTCGGTCCCCCAAAGCCAAGATCTAACTTGTTATATTATTCCAGCTCATCGCTCGCACTCCAAACTCGCGCGATTAACACGGACTATCGCTTCTGTGGCACGTTTCCATGTTTCGTCGACAGTCTTCACTGGCGGTAGCCGAATGTGAATGAACAGAGGGGAGTGCAAATCAGTGGTCGATGTTGCGTAGCAACTGTCTCGTACGGCACTGTCTTCGCGTCCGTCACTAGCCCTCGATCACGTTGCCTGACAAGAACGAAATCAATCTGAGTTCTGGTATTACCGCTGTAGAACGTGATGAGGTGTGAGTCACGTTTACGATAGTTTGTGTTCACGATGGTGAGATTGTGAGAGCTTGCATATTCAAGAATTCGCTCACCATCGGCGTTTCGTGACCCATAACCAAACCCACCATGACAACTATAACCATCTTTCGCAGATCCAACGTGTCCATTAAGGTCACCTGCGACAATGATAGCGTCCTCCGATGGTACCTCAGCTGTTTTTTCTCATCTAACAAGGGGAAGGATACCAGGTCGAAGTGGCCATTTGTAACGAGACATACACCACTAGATGTGTTTTTGGACGCTGATCTTGAATCTGCTCTCCAAATCTGCGGAACGATTCTCTGAACGTAGTTATGAAGCGAGATAGTGCAGTGGCAGCGGCCCGGGCCGGGAAAGAGGTCGTGGGATCGAATTCTCGGCGAGTTCTTGACTTTTGCTTTTCCTGAGGACATTGCTAAGGAGACATCCTCATCTATGCCAAGTTATCAGCACTCGCCTATATAACAAGAGTGAGGAGCTTCGATCAAGTGTGCGCGCCATTTGCAAATGACTGCCATATCGCACATTATAGGCACTTTCGTGCGAAGCAGAGGTGATTTCATGTTCAGCGTGTTGAACTACCCCTTTTGACAACTTCTGCCGAATCTAAAATTTTGACCTAAAAGAGTGTGGGCAGTCATATCTATCCATTGACGCAGTGTCCGAGCCCGGTCATGGGATTGAATTAAACTTTCAGTTTTACTCGCAAAACAAAATATATATGTCTGTCTTATTTGCTTGCGTTATCCAAAGAGTTAGATTGTACTTTTTCAAGTACACACTCACACTGCCGTCTATGGTTGGACAGCGCCAGCTTTACTGGCTTGAATAAAACTAACGACTTATTGTCGGCCAACTTTATGGTTCAGAATATCAGTTTTTTGAAGCATATAACATCTTCCTCATTAATAATACCCG